TGAAAGAACTGTCGAACCTGATAGCTAAACCCTATCAGTCGACCTCTTAATAGTGATTAGGCTTCTAATTAAATGTACAAGGACTAAACTGCCCCAACTTAAGTATGGGACAGAGAACCTCTAATAAGACTGCCACATAAGCTCATAACTTAACCAAGGTGAGTTGACTAATCTACCCTTATTTGGCTAACTCTAACAAATATCTATCCAAAAACTTTCTGGCTTGTCTAACACTTATCTCCTGAATTTGGAAATACAGAATTGAACCATGTTAGTTTCATTTTCTGCAAATATTTCTTGGTCATTCTCTCTTTCTGGCACTGCCCAAACATCTCATATTCCAAGTCAGATGCCTCACAGAATAAACTTCTTGGCCCCTAACAACTGGAATTGCTAGTTTTGGTAGGGTGATTCTTTGTACTCTTATTAGTCATGTTACAGTTTCTACTAGATTTAATAAAAACCTATGGACACTAATTCCATTTCAACAAACCCTTGATTTTATAAATTAAATCTAAAATCATCCCAAATTTTCCATTTAATTTATCTTTAATCCAAACACATATTCAATTGAAACCCATATTTTTTTTTCTTTTGACTTGCATCAAAATGGCTTGAGTATTACCTTTGCACTCCCTTCTTCATTAGTTTTGTTGAAAGCTTTTTATTGATGATAAAAGAAATGCACCTACTGAAAAATGGGGTATGTTTGGCCCTTTTAACATTTCAAGTTTTCTTATGATCTTTTCAAGAAATTTTCTTAATGTAAAAATGATAATTTCTTGAAATGTTATGCACTGTATCAATTTTCTATCCAATTAGAGAGGAGAAAACTTTTTAGTTCCAAAGCTAAGCCCTCATTCCATTAGATTCCTAAACTAGCCACTACTCTAATAGATAGTCTTGTGAGAGTGAGTCTTTAAGATTTAGCTTTTCTAGGGCATACTAGAGGGTATTCTTGTATGTTTTTGTATAAAGGACCTGATTGTGGGGGTGGGGCACCTAGGTTCTCCTATTTCTGTAACGAGATTTGATGCTTTTTACTTACATATTTTTCATGTTTATTCTCGCGTCAATGTTACTAATGTATAACTATAGAGCAAACTGTAGGTATCTGTAAGCACATCTGATTTTTTTGTGTGCAAAATTCTGCTTAGACTTGCTCCTTTTTCTTCAATGTATGTTTGCACTAGTTTTCTTTTGCAAACAATGATGTGTAATCACAATTATGTTTTCAGGTTTATGCACTTACAAAGGAGCGGGATACACTAAGGAGAGAGCAAAATAAAAAAAATGATGCTGTTGCACTTTTGAAAGAAAAAGATGAGATAATCAATCAAGTAATGGCCGAAGGTAGAGCTATAAGGAATCTGTAATTGCCAATATTGTGCCATATTTATTCTCTTGCAGGGCTGTTATATAGATTATTCATCACCAATCTCTTCAATCTTTGTTGTGTTTCTAAATGCCATTTGTAAGGGGATTACACCAATTAAGCTAAACATCTATTTAAAATATGACTGGTTTAGTGGATGGAAACTTTCTTTTTGGGAAATAAGTTTCAATGAGTAGGTCTAGAAATATGCATGCTGACACAGATAAACCAGTAAAAATGGTTGTATATGAGGTCCATATTTCTTGAAATAGCATCCAGAATAGATATCCCTCGGCTTCTCATTGGAGAGACACAATTGGAGAAAAATCAAGGTTAAATGCAATACTTGATTTAATTGAAGTCTACTGGAATCTATTGGTGTTGATAGGATTTTGCATTTCTTAGGAGAGATAGCAAACAGAAACAAGCTACTGGGAAATGCTGATGCTGGGCAATTATTAAGGTTAGATGCAATACTTCACTACACTTGGAAGTCAAATGGAATCTAAATAAACCAAAGTAGAAGTCTCATCCAACTCAGTACATTAGAAATCTCCTCCTTTTCCCGCTGTCTAAATCCCACTTTCCTTGTTCAATTGCTTCGTCAGTGTAAACAAAAATATAACTTAACTTAATCATCTGCGTAACAAATTCCTTGCTGGATTTCTTGAAATGCATATGTTACTCCTATGTTGTGCCTAAGATCAATCAATTAATCACATCTCACTAATTTGAGAAGATTGCTACTGGGCTGTTAAGCATTGAACTCAGAGAGAAGTAAATGTCTGTAAATACATAAAGTTAAATGGCCATCCATGGATAAACAAGGCAGTATTGCCTATTATTTATTCATCAAATTTCTATTCTTGTATCAAACATCTTTAGTTCTTGTTTTTTGAAATTCTAAGGTAACTTGATCCTTCATAAAGTCTAATCAGTTTGTTTGTTATATGTTCATATGTTGATATTTGAATCTAATTCTCTTCCATGGCAGGTGAAGAGCTTTCTAAAAAGCAAGCTGCTCAAGAATCACAGATCAGGAAATTAAGAGCACAGGTATACAGCCAATTCTTTTGATTTTCTGACTTGTTTAATGTTGATCCTGTTGACCCTCATAGATCCTTTTCTTCTAAAGAAAATCTAATGGATCTTTTTTTTCCTTTTTTCTGTGAAAGCTAGATCAGAGAGTTTGAAGAAGAAAAGAAAGGGTTGATTACCAGACTTCAGGTATTTAAGATCTTAAATCATGTAGACCTTTCTCTCTTTTGTGGTGGATTATCTGCAAAATATAGGTTTGTTTGCATATTATCATTCTTTTACTGCATTTAATAAATTTTCAGTTGCTCTATATATGGGCAACTGTGCAAATGTTCATGTGCTTTGCTTGTGGCAGTTTTAGATGATGATGATGGTGGTGATAGTAATAATATATGTCCGAATTGTTCCACATTTTTTTTATATTTCTATGTCTATATAAATAATTCTTATTTATCACACTTGTTCTTGTTTAATACGATGAATATATAATATTAGAGATGTGCCCAAATATTTTACAAAATTTATGTATTTTTCATATTTTTTTTGTGTTTTTATCATTTTTTAGTTTTTATCATCTGACTATGACATCATGGGTTGATCCACTTGACTTGGATGGTTGGATTGCTTATTTGCCACCTGGATGGAAGAATGGTTTTGTTTTTTGATCAGTTTTAAAAAAGCTTGGTTTTTTAATTTATGCTATTAATAGTATTGGATATAGGTGAAATTAATAGAATTTATTTGTGAGAAAAAAATACCTTAAATATAGGATTTAATGAGATAGAATGGGAGTTAATACCTTAAATATAAGACTTAATGAGATGGAATTGAACGAGGTGAAAAGTAGTAGTTCAAATTACATTTTATGCCTTAATAAATAGAGAGGGACTAAATTCAAAAATTAGGGTATTTTAGTCAAGAGAAAAAGTTCCACAAGCTCATCCATACTTTCAAGAGTGGTATAGATATAGATTTTTTTTTTTGAGATTTTTTCTACAATTTCTTATATTTTTATGTGTTAAAAATAATTCTTTTTTTATAACACATATTTTTATGTGTAAAAATTGGGGTATTTTAATCAAGAGATGTGCACAGATGTCTTATGCAAAATTGATGTGTCTTTCCATATTTATGTTTTTTATATATATATTTTTTTCATTTTTATTATTTAATTATGACATCAAAGGTTGATGTATTTGACCCAAGAGTTGAAATGTTGACCCGCCACCAAACAGGAATACAATTTAATTTTTTGGTTGGTTTTAAATTTTGTATTTCATTTCCATCATCAATAAAAACAATTTTGTTTATTACACTTATTTTTCTTTGATATGATTAATATAAAATTTTTAGAGATGTGCTTGATTTTTTTATAATTTTTTTATTTATTTCTATTAAAAAAATTTTATTATATAACTATGACATCATGAATTGCCCCATTTGACCCAGATGGCTGAATTGCTTACCTGCCACCTAGATGGAAGAACAATTTTTGGGGCCGTTTGACAAGTCTTCTTTGAAAGATCTTCTAGAAGCTCTAGGAGTCAAAAGACGTAGTGAGATTTTGCATTAAGATCTTGATAGCCTGAAGACCATTTGGTTAAGGCGTGTCATTTGGTGCGTCTTTCCGCGCTAAGATGAGTTGAAAAAAACTGAAAAAGCTCCATTTGGAGCTTCTTGAAAATCACCCAAATTGGGCTTTGCACGTCTTTTCGTCATTACGTCTTTTGGCAGCTAGATCTTTTTCCAACCAAACTGGAAAAGACGAAAACGTGGGCTGCCGGGCTTCTAAAAAGCTGACTGCCTGCATGAAAAGATGTGCCAAACGGGGCTGAACATTTTTAGGTCAGTTTTACAAGTATTGGACATGGATCTAATTAGTAGAATTTATTAGTGATAAAAATACCTTAGATATAAAATTTAGTAAGAGAGAATGAGAGTTAATACTTTAAATATAAGACTTAATAAGAGGGAATTAAATGAGGTGAAAAGTAGTAGTTCAAATTGTTGGATTGAAGTCTTTGTATGTATGAGTATTCGGCTGATAAGAGTTCTTATTAGCCTATACTTAAGTTTAAGTTGTCCTGTACTGGGCCT